TAATTTCTAAGGAGAATCTAGGTTCGGGGATCGAAAGAATAGGACGAACAGAGGGTAATCGAGAATATCAGTACTAGTTTCTAAGGGAAGTAGTTCTAGATAATTGGGATTTAAGACTGCTAGTGGATTCAGAAGATTTTAAAGAACACTGACGATTTCTTGCTAGAAATTTTTATAAAGGTAAAATGTGATGCCTCTCTCTTCTGAGGGCAAAAGGTTCGCGGCTTTATACTTTTCTCACTCACTGGTCAAGCCTTCGGTTAACAACATAGATGGTTATCAATCTGAACTTTTATCTTAATACCGTCCGTAGTAAGGATCTCATCCTTCGAACTTCGTAAAGAGTTCTTTTCTTTAGTCGATTAGTTTCCTTAGTGTTCCTTTCGAGTTTTATCATGACTGAAAACCTTTCGTGGTTTGAGAACTGTTGGATCTCTCAGAGTCCTCGGTAATCTTCACTCCTTAGTTGATTCTATTCAGTAGGTTTCTTTTACTTTATTTATGTATAAGTTTGTATATGAGTTTTTCGACTCTTGTGAATTTATTTGAACTTATTACTCATATGATTTTACGTAATTTGTCTTTAATGCTCTTGGCTCGTAAGTAACTTCTATTCCTTCGTTTCTTAGTTTGTTTTATATCCTCCGTTCTTATTCTTTCTCAGAGTGTTCTATTCATTTCTTGTATTTTACTTCTTGGGTGGGTCTTTGATACTAGACCTCTAAGTTGTGGTTCTTTCATTATATGAATTCTTATGGTATTTTATAAATCTTCGATACTTTGGTTAATTTATAATATATTGTACATGAAATGTAAATGGTATTTTAATGATGATATAATCAATAAAGGTTTTATTTACAACTGAGTAAAGACGTAGTGGTTCCCCATGTAGTCTATTTTGAAGTGCTCTTGGGGCTTCTAGGTGTAAGATCTCGAGTACTGACAGTCAGAGTCTTGCAGTTGTCTCCAGCTTGCATCGCAAACGATTTCCATCTGAGCAGCTCAGATCTGCATGGTTCCACCGCCTTAGCACAATCAGTACCAATGGACAGCCCTGCACGTTCAGCCAATCCTCTGAACTTTAGGGAACACAGGGCTATTGAGAGGCCCAAGACTGAGTCTGACATTTCACAACCTGACACACACATAACATTTGTGTCACACTTTTAAACATATCTCTCCTCCAGCTCGGTGCCTCATCACGGTTCCTCTGTTGGACCTTTGGCTTAGGGCTAACCTTTCAAGCGGGACACCAATCCCCGATGTTGGACTTTTTGGTGGATATCACATGTGCCCTCCCACTCCATCTCAGTCCCACCATCCTCAATATTACAAGCTTTGAATCAGCCATCAATTTACTGCAAGGCATTTGCTCTTTTTGCTCAGGACTTGACTTTCCTTCCCTTGAAGTAGATACAATTGTTCAAGACGCCTCACTGATTTGTCAGTTTCGATTGGCTGAAAGTTTTCCAACCAAGTAGCCAACAACGGATAT